CGTCAAGGACAAAAGTACGTATCGCAAAGGTACGAACCTTTGCACGGCCCTCAGATGTCGCAACTTCGAAACGCTGTCAGTGCCAGATGAACTTTCAAAGGGAGATTACACTTACAGGATATAGTATCTTCTAGATTTCTCACAATTTCTATACCTCGGATTTTTCTAAAAGGTCACATGTGGGCAAAAACGTCCCCCCTCCCCCCCGTCACCCGGGCGAAGGTAAATTAACCCGGCGGCCGCCGCGCTGGGCCTCCGCGCCACCCGCCAGCCGCGGGGGGGCTTTATGTTCTCCGCCGATATCATCGCAATGCGAAGAGATAGAGAAACGAAAATTGTATACGTACTTTTGCGTACGCACAATTGCGAACGTACTTTTGTCCTGCGTACTTAATACAATACGTACTTTTGCATACGTGCTTTTGCGTACGAATATTTGCGTACGTACTTTTGTCAACGTACTTTATGCTATACGTACTTTTGCATACGTACTTTTGCGTACGAACATTTGCCTACGTGCTTAATACTGCACGTACTTTTGCATACGTACTTTTGCATAGGTGGAGAATTGGGACCAGCTGGGGGTGCTCGGGCGCAGCAAATCCGCCGCCGCCTAGCGTTGACCTTGACCCGCGCCGCCCGGCCGCGGCTCCAAAGCCAAGCCGGCGTGGCCGGCGTGGAATTGGGAGAGCTCGAGCACCCCCAGTCCAGCACAATTCTCCACCCGTGCTTTTGCGTACGAACATTTACGCACGTACTCTTGTCCTACGTACTTAATACTGTACGTACTTTTGCATACGTACTCTTGCGCACGAACATTTGCGTACGTGCTTTTGTCCTACGTACTTTATACTGTACGTACTTTTGCATACGTACTTTTGCGTACGAATACGAACATTTGCGTACGTACTTTTGTCCTACGTACTTTATCGTTTACGTACTTTTGCGCACGTACTTTTGTCCTACGTACTTTTGCGATACGTACTTTAGTCCGCGAATCAGCTAAGGGGCGTTTTGCCAGATATGGTTTCTACTGCTACACCGCTACTTTGGCTCCCCAGCTAACAGGAAACGTTACTACAACGTTGTCACAACGTCGTGTTTCGGTAAGTTGCGAAATTACGTTTTAATTACGTTGTAGCAACGTTCTGAACGTTGTGAAGCCATGGTTTGGTCCGAAAGTCGTGGTAAAACGTCGTGACAACGTTTTATTGGTACGTTGCAGCAACCGCGCACTTGCAGCATTATATTTTGATAATGTATGGTGACATATATGGCCATATAATGCATTTCCTTTGACTTTCAATGCGCATATTCAGTTTTCATCGTTAAATTTGACATATTTTAACACTTGGACTGTTCACGTTGTCAGCTAGTGGTCGCCAACACGTTGTTAAAACGTTTTTCACAACCTTGACATTATAGGTACTGAATAATTAGCGGTGTTTTTACAAGTAAATTCTGATACCTTTCTCTCTCTATCTCTCTCTAATTAATATACATACATATATATATATATATATATATATATATATATATATATATATATATATATATATATATATATATATATATATAACATGTGTAAATTGCAAAGCGTCATTGGCATGTTTTGCAACATCACAGGCGGAGCTAGAGGCTTGCAACTATCCCTATGTAAACGCGGCTGTTATCCGCGGCTGCCAGCAAGCCACGCGGGCCGCCACTCAGGCGAACGGTGCACACTGGGCCGATCGCCAGGTCTAGCACGACATGGGTAAAAAAAATCGAACTTTGTGGATGTGCAATGAAACCTATACCAATTTGTTCAAAAATGATCATACTACATTGCTGTGGTCTTTGTTTTCCAACACAATTGCTATTTCATGGCGAAAACTCAGCTTAAACACGAACTTCGGAATCGTTTGGACCGAACTCGTCCCCCGCACTCTTCGACAACGTATCTTTGATCCACGAAAACAATCCCAATTTGAGGAGGAATTCCACATTTATATACATCAAACGATAGCTCCGGGTCTGCAGAACACACATAACCACATGAAAATGGCGAACTCTTACTTGGTTATGATGTATTGGCACCGCAAAGATTTAAAGACGAAAATATAATTTCACCTAATTGATGTCACACACAAATAGACTTTTAAAAAAAGTACCGCAGAGTACCGCTTCGAAAATCTCGCTACATGTCAATGATTCATTGCACTACAAGATCCAACAGTCATTTTTTGCGACTTTTTGCGACTTTGGATGTAGCAGCCAAACATCAACCCGCGCCGGACCGGTGCTCGGCGTCAAACGCGCCGGGCCGGGAGGTGTTGATTGAACACTCCCCTTCTAACTCGGCTCTTGGGCCACATAGCGACACGTAGTAAGTGGCATTCGAAAGAGCGCCCAAAATTCCAGATGGAGTAATTAGTCATTTCTAGGTCAGGTCAAAGGTCACGTCACCAGAGGTCATCAAAGGTAAAATGTTGCATATATCAACATTTCTCGAAAACCGGCCCTTACCTCGGGGACCAATAGAGCTACATCGTCGCGGAAAACTGCATTCAATTGCTCTTTTAGCGGTCTTTCTGAAATAAGCCCTCAGATTTGGCTTAACCCTCGCCCCTAGTGGTGTTTTTCCAGCCGCGAACGTATAGAAGGGGTCCGTTGGACCCCCCGCCGTTTCGCCCCTGATCGAGCTAGAGCTTCGCGGAAAAGACGAGCGTGTTGCCCGTGACAAGAGGAAGCTGATGATACCCGATTGTAAGGTCCTAATTAATCAGTTGGCCTTCCAGGTCAGGTCAATGACCCAAAAGTCGGAAAAAATCGGGACCTGTTAAAACGTCGTAAAGGCCAAAGGGTGGCTGCTATGGGTTTTTTGGGTGCTGATCACGAACATAATGTTATTTACGATCATAAATGATGTCTTCATACATTTAGGCCAGGTCGGGTCAGGTCAGGTCAGGTCAACCAGTAAGGGTTTTGCCGGGTATTTGCAGTAGGTGGCAACCGCCTCTGACAGCTTTGTAACATGTTACGAAGGCACCAAAGCTACATAGTAAATGTTCAAATGGTTTCTAGATTCGAATTCAGCTCCAAAAACTAGGCTAGAAACATGTAAAACTCGAAAAAGTGAACAAAGGTCATCAAAGGTCAATGACCTTACCTGACCTTCTGGTGACCTTGACACCAACCCTAATGCATGGGAGCAACATAATATCCCATGTTTGAACGCTTTAAACCAAGAAAAGACTGCAAACCCGCGGCTAATGCGACCCGACATACGCTGAATCGCGATTCCGGCCAAACATGGTCTCGAAAGAAGGTCACAGGTCAAAGACCATTAAGGTCAGGGTCATGAAATTTTCAGGTTAGCTGTAAAAGTAGTTATCGCGAGGGTACTGAAAGTTTCGTTGCGATCGGCCGCTTTTTACGCGAATTACTCGCGAAAAACCAAGGGTTCCGTTCGAAGATTCAGGCCCTGTCGCGCTAGAATGGCATATCGGCCCACTGTGCGGTGGCTCGCGCCCTGACCTCGCCTGAGGGGCCGTGACGTCAGTGTCACCGGCCGGCGTTCAGAGCCAGCCGGCCGAGCCGCAGTCTACGCGGCGCGAGCGAGCAGTGAGGGCCGGCGGCGGGCGCGGCTGAGATAGCTGGAAGATGAAAGATAGCGCCAGTTGTCTGCGTTTGATGCGATTGTTGTTTTGACTGGTAAGTCAAAGTACCATTTACGAGTAGCATTTGCAAGATTGTGCCTTGTAATATCGTGCGGTCTAGGCTATAGTTCATTGTAGCTCTAGCCTCTAAGGTGTTGACATGTTTGATCTAGCCTGTCGCACTGTTCCGGAAAGTGGTGCAGGTATTTTTGTGATTTTTTCATGAATTGAATGTCTGATTTTCCCTCATGTCTTCCCGCAGACGTCCTGCAACTCGTCAGCGCGCCTTGTGGCAGGCCTACTGTCGGCAATGCGGTAGCGAAGTGGCTGTCCGGAAGCTGCGACCGGAACGGGGGATGCGCAGACCGTCTAGTCAGGCACTGCCAGCTGCCTAGGGACATCGAGGCCGCAAATGAGCCGGTGCCTAACGGTCCGCCGAGTGATCCTCCCAGCGAGGGTTAGTGAAGAAGTGAACTTCCACCAGTTCTGGCGTGCTAGCGGCTAGCGTCAGAGCCGGTAGAACCCAATTCCGTCCCACGCCCCCATGGGGGCGCCCCTGGGCCCCATGCCCCATCACCGATGCCGCCGCCGTCGTTTTGTTTGTTTGTTGTAAATTGACCTGTATGGTGTGTTGAAATATACACTTCTTACATGCCTTTTTTACAAGTCTAGAGAACGGGAAGAGAGCGTCGGAAACACATTCTGAGTAGGTATGTTGCGAACACGTTGAGAGGGCGTTGCGAAAATGTTTAGGACGTTTACTCAGGGTCGCAGGGACGGCAATACGAAGTAGCGACAACGTGGTGCGCACGTGATGTCGTGATAATAACGTCGCAGAGACGTTGCCAAAGCGTTCTATACTCCTTGTAGTCACGTTGCGGAAACGTGGTGACAACGTTCCAGAAACACTGTTGGTACGTTACAGAAAACATTTCATAACGTTGGCGGGACGTTGTAAGAACAGTTTTGGGACGTCACGGCCACGTTACAGAAACGTTGTGATGACATTCAAATGCATGGTCGGATGACGTTGTCACTTGTCACGCCGTTGTCTGGAGTCTACAAAATTACGTTGTCACAACGATAAATATGGACGTTGTGGTAACCATTTGACAACGTTTAAACGACGTTGTAACAACGGCAAATTGTTAGCTGGGTCAATACTAGAGTTATTTTGCTAGTAAAAGGCAACAAAATTGAAAATTGATTTACAAAAATGCATATAAATGGTTAAGAGATAATTATAAGGAAATGTTGATTGAATGATTTTTAAATATTGAACCGTGAAACTATATTCTGGTAGGTAATAGTAGAAAATAGTCCATGCAACCTTGTATTTAGAGCCTTGGGCGGCCTTACATTGGCGGCGGCGCCGCTCCAGGCGTGTGGCGGCGGCGGCGGCGGCGCGCCGGCGCCGGTCGGCGCGCCGTCCGGTCCGTCCTCGGCCGGGTCGTGGTCGCTGTCGGCAGCGCCGGCCTCGTCCTCGCTGGAGCTGCAGTAGTAGTGCAGCTTCTCACCCAGCAGCTTATCATCCAGCGTGGCCATGCCAGCGACCTGAAGGCAAACGGAGACCGCCCGCACAATGGCATGGAGCTGCTATAACATACATGGGGGGGGGGGGTGTGGAACGGAGTCCCTCGTTTTCTCGCAAATAGCTCAAGTAAACAGCGACCGATCGCGACGAAACATTCAGCATCCTCAGTTGATCAATTTTACACCATAGACTTCTATATACCCGGCCTGGACACAGAAAAATCTGATCATGACCATAGAGATCTTATAATATAGAGATGCCCTGGTACTAAAAAACCTAACGTTTCTTGGGCGTTTTCTAAGCAAGAAATTACGCTCTTTGAATATCGTGATTTGTGTCTGTACCCTCTCCTAAAAAGAAAATGAATGATAATTAATAATTATACGTATTTCTTCATTATATGAGGTGTAGAAATAAAGGATCACATCAATCCACTTTAAATGTTTTTGTTGCGATAATGTCTTATGTTCTCGGACACGTCGGACACATCTCATGGAATATATTGGAATTGAAGTTGACGTTGGGATAGCATTGAAGTATCGCTGTATTTTCCAAAGTTAGTTATTTGATAAATATATTCGGCTCCTGATACTGGGGTATATTTAAAGGTTTTCAGGTCAAACATACTGTTGAAAATGATAACTTAAATGTTAATTAGCAATCATGTGTGCGATGAACTTTTCAATAAGAGATATCATTGGTTGTGCGGTGAGTTCATCATGCATATTTTAGCGCCAATAGGGAATTGCATGTTGCAACGCCAATGTTAAAATACCCAAATCAAAGGGGGCACGGTGCCCCGGTGACCTCCCCCCCGTTCCGCCACCTATGCGTGACACTTTGGGTATTTCGGGTATTATTATGTAAAAAGCGTCGGATCACGACAAAACTGTACCCTCGAGCCGATCATGTTTTTATCTGCGCATAACACATTTCATATATTGCACACAAATAACCGTTGGCTTGTTAGTTGTTTCTTGAGATCATGTTAGGTCATACCTACGATCTCAATTCTAGAAACTACAGCGGGTCCCTATCTTCTCCACAACTGTCATTGACCTCTTGAAAGTCTTAACCCTCGCCCGCACATGCCATTTTCCCATCCTAGAACGCACATGGGGGGGGGGGGGGGGTGGGGGTGGTTGCCACACCCCCCCCCGCGCCATTTCGTTCCTGTTGGAGATAGAGCTTAGCAGTAAAGACCAAAAAGATTCTTTGGGAAGAGACGAATCCAATGATACCCAGTTTTACCTTCTCAGGTCAGTCATTGACCTTCCAGGTCAGGTCAAACTAAAAAATGTTGCTGTTTTGGGTCACCGTTGGATATCAAGTGCGCTGCTTATCAAATACCGATGACGATGCTGTTTTCTGGTGCTAAGCCAGCTAGAACCTCTTTGTCACACTATACGACCAGAATTTTGCTGCTGAGGTCATTTCAGGTCAAGTTAGGTCAAGGTCAATTATATGTGTTTGTATGTCTGTGTGTGTCTGTGTGTATATTGATGTGTGCACCGATTGTTTTTGGGTCCATATCACATGAAATCATGATCTGAGAAGCTTTTACCAAAAATGCAGTCAAAAAACTTCACAAAAAGTAAATTCAGCTTGCCTAAAACGCAATTATCTTAGATGACCTAGGTTGACCTTGACCCTGACCTTGACCCCTGTACATCGTCGAACAATATGTTCCATGATAGGTGGGAGGTAAGACTGGCAAAAAAGGCCGAAATCAGGGTGTCAAAAGCTCACAAGGCCCATGGCAAACGCAAGATGTTGAGAATTGGCCATTTGGGTCATGACATGACCTGAAAAACAATGTCATATCTCCGAAACCAAAAATCACAGAAACTTGAAATTTTCAGTGGATATCAAGAAAGGATAGACGAGCAGCTATACGAAAAATCAGCCTTCTAGCTCTAAAAATGTTGAGTGCAGAGCAGAAAGACTGCCTGGGGGGGTGGCAACCCCCCCCCCATGTGCGGGCGAGGGTTAAGTCACCCAATGGCCAAGGAGCTTAACCCTCGCCCGTATTGGTGTTTTGCCAGCCGTGAACGTATAGGGGGAAATTCGTTGGACCTCCCCCCCCTTGCCGTTCGGCCCCTCATCAAGCTAGAGCTTCGCGGAAAAGTAGCGTGTTGCCCGTGACGAGAGGAAGTCGATGATACCCAATTTTAGGGTCCTAAGTCATTGGCTGACCTTCCAGAGGTCAATGAAAAAAGTCGGGAAAATCGAGAGACGTGTCAGAACTTTGTCAAGTGAGGTTGTTGTGGTTCTTTCGGGGTACTGATCACGAATTTTATCTAAGTTTTGATCACAGATGCGCTCTTCGTGCATTTAGGCCAGGTCGTGTCAGGTCAGGTCAACTAATAGGCGTCCTGCCGGGTATTTATAGTAGGCATCATCCACCACTGACAGCTTCGTAACATGTTACAAATGCACCAAAATTGCTTCGTAACTGCTCATATGGTTGCGAAATTTGAAATCAAATCCAATGTATAAAATTCATCAACTCTACTAAAAATTTCTTCGCTATCGGCCGCTTTTTGCGCGAGTTATTCGCGAAAAGAAAAAAAACGAGGAAAAGGGGGTCTCCTATAAGTGCGAAGGTTAAAATTGGGTAGCAGCGACTTCCTATCGCCACGTGACGGGTAGCACGCTCGTTTTTCTACCGCAAAGCTCCAGTTCAGAGGCCGAGAGGCTGGGGTCCGATCGGCCCTCCCCGTTTATGTTAGCTGCTATGAAAACGCCAATAGAGTGGCAACGGCCTAGTGTTTGACCTGGACTTATCTTTGCATTGAGTTTTATTCACGATCGATGGCAACACAAGTCAAATTCCTAAAACCAGACGTTTCGGCCACAGGGTGCCTTCGTCAGTGGACACTAGTGATTAATTAAATTAAAAACACATAGTATCAAAAACAATCGGTATAAATCGTTCGAAGTCGACACATCGGGCACAGGTTTCGAAATGCATTCTTTGGTTCAACATTAAAAACCTAAATTGAGAACAGTATTCATCACGCCATTGTTCTTGTCGCGTTCTTTTGATATGCTGAAAATTAAATTATATAATGAATGTACCTACAGGTCACAATGTAAATGTCGGAACGTTTAATTCGCTCGCCTTTTCTCAGAGTCTTTCAAAATTCGCCAATCACCTTTCGTTTAGAAATCGTTTACGTTTTGTTTCCTAGTGCCATCATTGCAGCCGCTTTTGCCCAGGTAAAGAATCCAGGTTTTTCGTTCACTGTATCTTGGAAACAGATGTGAGCTGCTTCCAGAGCTTTTCTCACCGATTTTGACATGCCTTTTTCAATGACATGAGCACTGTTCCAGTTTGGTAAATTTTGACATTTTTCGATATGAAGGACGAGTGCGTTCGATCTATTGTGGTTCCGGACATCGCGTTTGTGTTCTTTCAGTCGTGTGTCGAGTCCTCTTCCAGTTTCTCCTATGTACGATTTGTTGCATGGGCCCGAGCAAGGAATTTTGTATACCACACTGTTACTATCTTTCTTTTCTATCTTTCTTTTCGAAACGTCTGGTTTTAGGAATTTGACTTGTGTTGCCATCGATCGTGAATAAAACTCAATCATGTCTGATCATTATCTTTGCATCCCGGGACCGAACGGTCGTGATGTCTGTTCCATCAAGGGAGCCAGTAATTCTATGATGAGGCTTTCTCAGAGGCCCCCATTACCCCCCCCCCCGCCGAGGGGCTCCATTACCCCCAAAGGGGGCATGCCCCACCATTTGCCGACCCCTGGATTAGACAATATACTGAGCTGCCAGCTGCGGGTGACCGAGCTCTCCGAATTCCACGCTGGTTTGGCTTTGGAGCCGCAGCAGACGGCGAAGGTCAAGGTCATTGCTAAGGCGGCGGCGGGCGCGCAGCGTCGAGCCGATGAACCAGAAGCCGGCTGCCGGGTATTTAGTTGCCAGGCTGATTTGATCCCTCATAGTCGGAAATTGGGCTACTAGAACTGAAAATTGATTTGTTTGTAAATAAATAAGCGATTTGATAGTGTAAATCACCTGGATTACAACTTTTAAAAATATTGTAACCCTCGCCGGCACAGGGGGGGGGGGTTGATGCAACCCCCCCCCTAAGGTTTTCGCGAATAACTCGCGTAAAAAGCGGCCGATCGCGCCGAAACTTTCAGTACCCTCGCATTCATCAATTTTACACCTACCCTGTAAATTTCATGACCCTGACCCAAATGACCTTTGACCTGTGACCTCTTTTCCGAGACCATGTTTGGCCGGAATCGCGATTCGGCGTATGTCGGCTCGCATTAGCCGCGCGTTTGCAAGCTTTTCGTGGTTTCAAACGTGTGAAACGTTCAAACATGTGATTTGATGTTGCTCCCATGCATTAGGGTGGGTGTCAAGGTCACCTGAAGGTCAGGTCAGGTCATTGACCTTTGGTGACCTCGGTTCACTTTTTCGAGTTTTACATGTTTCTAGGCTAGTTTTTGGAGCTGATTTCGAATTTAGCAACCATTTGAACATTTACGAAGTAGTTTTGGTGCCTTACGTTACGTTACGAAGCTGTCAGAGGCGGTTGACACGTATTACGAATACCCGTCACGACCCCTACCGGTTGACCTGACCTGACCCGACCTGGTTTAACTGCTTAAAGACATCATCTCTGATCAAAACTAACACGATATTCGTGATCAGCACCCCGAAAAACCTCATAGCAGCCACACTTTACGACTTTCTAACAGGTCCCGATTTTCCCGATTTTTGGGTCATTGACCTGACCTGGAAGGTCAACCGATGACCTAGGACCTTAAAATTAGATATCATCGGCTTCCTTTCGTGACGAGCAGCACGCTCGTTTTTTTTTTTCCGCGAAGCTCTAGCTCGATCAGGGGCCAAACGCGAGGTGGGGGGTCGTACCCCCCCCCCCCGTGCCGTCGAAGGACTCAAAGTGGCCTGTGCCGGCGAGGGTTAATGCAAAATACTTCAGTTGCAAGGATTCTAAGGGTTGGTACTTTTCAGGTACCACAAAAATTCGTTATTAAAGAGATTAGGTGCATATTTGGCCTAATTTGTGCATTCGCCAGATAGCCCATCGTGAAAACGGCTATTTACATTATGTATATTACTTTTGAAAGCATTTTCTTGCGACCATTCGGTCATCTATGCCTAGTGGCTAGTGCCTTAATAACCAAGATGTCATCCGTAAGAGAGCAAATAGTAAATGAATCATTGAATATATTAAAGAAGACAATTATATAACAGCAGACCGTTTTTGTCTAAAACGACTTCTTCAGCGGTTAAAAGAAGCGCTGAAGAAGTTTTTTAGACGAAACCGGTCGGGTTTTATATAATTGTCTCTTTTAATATATTCATTTACTACTTGCTCTCTACTATAGGTAGCAGGTACACTCGTCCAATATGTCTGCATGATGTCATCAATCTATGTTTTTACTTTCTTCCCGAAGCAGTCGGTGTTTAAGAGCCTCACGAGCTACCTGCGCTCAAAAAAGTTACTTAAAAAACGCCCAAGAAACGGTACGAAATTGAGTGTTTTAACATTGTATGGGCATCTCTATATTATAAGATCTCTATGATCATGACCACAACGGCCCTTAAAGGGAGATAATGAGCTTTCTTTTTTCTTTAATAAAAATTACTCGACATCTATACTATTTCTACTGTAGTTTCTATAAAATATGAAAATTTCCTAGCACATTTTCGTATGTGAAAAAGGTTTTTATTTTTGCAAAAAAGAAGCAGTACTTGCAGTACTTGTAACACCCACCGAAATGCGTTGTCCTTCTCTATGAAAAAGTCGCAGTATATGGCGCTTTTGTTTCAAACAGCGACGCTTGGGTTTTTGTTTATGTTATCGCCTTATCGTTGCTTGGTTGTAAGGATTCTAATTTGAATTAGAGTTAATTCGGTTTAGAATTAATTAGATTCTAATTCGGGGGTAGGGGAAAGTGGGGTAAGACGGGCACCTTAACTTTGGAGCCATTTTTCGGCCGGTTAGAAACATCATAGAAACGGGAAACTGGGTGAAAACCTTTTTCAGACATTTTACTTTCATTTGCCAGAAGATGAGACTTAGACCTGATTCAACAAATAAACTGCAGCTATTTTTGCAAAACCTTGCAAAAACCCGTCTTACCCCACCCCATGGGGTAAGACGGTCACATGGGTAGGGCAAGACGGCCAGCTTCTTTCACCGATCAGCGCAGCTCGCAACAAATGCCCGAGATTAGCCGCATTTATACAGTCGCTCGTTGGTCTCAAGTGCTTCGGAAATGGCAGTATACGAGATTCGTGCAGAAGGCGTATGCTCCTATATAGGCCCTAGTTCAGAAGCCATGTAGAACCGTTTTTCACATTCATTATTCGAGAATAAACTGTGCCGAAGGAATATTGCTAACATGTCTGTGAGTATCGGAATCGAACATATTCTTATTAGAAATGCTTCTTTTTTCCTACAGCAACAAAAATATTTTCACCATTACAGACCCATTGGGTTCATAGTTGCCCGTCTTACCCCAAACTCAATGTCAGAAGTTCAGCACGATTTTTCGCTGTGGACAATTTGATGCAGACAAAGCAAATCCGCCGTAAATGAACACTGTTGGCATATGAGTGTACCACAAGTGATTGCGAGTTTTTAACTCTATAGTGCTGTACACAAAAGCTTGCACAATACATTATGGATGTTTTCAATGAAATGAGTGTTTTAAAGAAATCAAAATAAAAGATTATCGACTGAACACAAATTCACCAGACTTGAATGGTGGTGTGTAGTGGGAAAGGCAATTCTGGTCCTAACTTTTCTTGCTCGTAGCGCTATTGGTTTGGTCTGCAGAAGGGGTGCCCGTCTTACCTACCCTGACCGTCTTACCCCACTTTCCCCTACATAGTGCCTACTCTTCTTTGTTTCCAAGTATTGTTTTGCGCCACAAATGAACGGCATGCGCCAGAAACGCAGCCAAATCTTGCGATTGCGACTACGAAATTCATTATTTTGGCCTCAGAGCCTGAAGCGAAAAATACAAGCATATTTATTTCAAAAAGACTTCAGGTTTGTCGAACGGTGTTATGAGAATTTTGATAACAGTACTGCATAAGTTTTTCAGTGATGCCGCAAAAGTGTTGTATCTATCTTCTTTTATTGTGCAGTCGGCGGGACCGATTCAAAATTGAGTCGTTGCTACTAAAATAGCAGCATATGGCCTCAGATGATGAACAGAAAAATAGTTGCGTAAATTTAGACATAAACCACCCCCAAACCATGAATATCTTTTGAAGGCACTATAGACGACCATTAACTAACTAGATGTGATGAAGATCAAATGTAAGGAATACGCTCATTTTACAAAATTACATGCAAGTACCAAAAAGTGATGTAAGTACTTATTCAACGGTCATTTTCAGCGCTCCCCGCTAACGTGACTTCAAGTTGAGATATTTGCGGCAAGGTACCGCATTGAGCAAAATGGTTTTAATTTACATTATAACTTGTTGTGTTTTGTCAGAAAATGATCTTAACTCAGATTTTGTGGAAAAAGGTCATTATCTCCCTTTAACCTTCGCCCCAGTGGGGGGGAGGGGGGCATGTGTTACCACCCTGTCGCGTTTTTTTTTTTTGCGTGTGAATTAAAACCCGCGGCGCGTAGCGCCGCAGGCTACCGCGCTGCTTGGGATAGCCTGCTGTACCAGTACATCCGGCAAAACAAAAAATCAAACCTGGAAATTAATGTTCTTAGCGAAAAAGCGGAAACCTTCCTTGCTTACTGCACAAAAATTTGTGCAGTATTCGACTATTCGATAATAAAACATGCCTTTGTTCTGTAACCTATCCATCAAGATTCCCGGTTGTCCATTGCATTCCTTTCTCAATAAAGTTGTGAATCTTGGAAACTGAGGTGCCATGGTGCCATCATTACCAAGGTGATTGGTACACAAATACAAGCTGCCAAATCAAATGTGTTCTTCATTTCACGCTGTCGTGAAATGAAATTCTCGACCAATCAAAACGTTCCATTGTTTTGCTGATGCTGCTTGCTTAGCAAACATTCACAAGAGATGCCGAAACTACCCCATGGAGTAGTTTGAGCATGGTGAAACTGGATTATCCCCATGGGGTAGAATGGAAATCTACCCCATGCCGAAGTTACCCCACTTGGTGAAACTGGGCCCTGCAGTAAAACGGTTTTCCTATCACCATTTTCAAGTCAATTCGCCGAATTTAATCAAATCACGCTAATTCCTAGTGGAAATTGGAAGCCTTTTTTCGGTATTAGTATATATTAGGTCCGAGTGGACAATTGTGACGCTGTTGATACAAATATGTAACAGCAAAAAATTTAGGTTTTAGGTTAGGTTAGGTTAGGTTAGGTTGTAGGTTTGTAGGTTTTAGGTTGTAGGTTTGTAGGTTAGGTTATGTTAGGTTAGGTTGTAGGTTTGTAGGTTGTAGGTTGGTAGGTTGTAGGTAAATAGGTAAGGTTAGGTCAGGTTTGATCATGTTTTTCTTTTATTTCCAGGACATATAAGTATCATTTTTGGATTCAGGATGTCAAATAATGTAAGAATATGAAAACTTTATCTTTTAACAGTCACTCGGACTTAATGTATACTTTTACCCCTTTTTTCTCCAAAAAGTGGATGCGACACCACAAGTACCGGCTTGTTATACCATTTTTCACCCTTAGTAGCGGGGGCTGCATTTATGCCCATGTATGGTCATCAAAAGTCCATTTATTGACCAATCAATTTTTGGATGTTCGCCTCGTAGTTTCCCCAACTGACTTGCCTAAAACCTACCAACCTACAACCTACAAACCTACAACCTAACAACTTAAAACCTACAAACCTACCTACCTACAACCTAAAACCTACAAACTTACAAACCTACAACCTAATCTAACCTAAAACCTTAACTTTTTGCTGTTACATATTCGTATCAATAGCGCCACAATTGTAGTTAGGATCTAAACTTGACATGTTCTCCCCTCCCCATGACATATTCTCCCCTATATTTCCTTAACTTTCCAAACAACTCACCCAAGGCAGTATATTGATATACCAACTCACCGTGAATCTTCAGTGATGCGTGTGTGATGAGTAGTTCTCTATATACCGTCATGGAGGATACCGTGATGAGTAGATGTCACAGCGTAGGTATTTGGAAATTCCGACCTCGACGAGCATCTGTGGTAGAAAACCACCACTTTGGTACACGTCTATCAATTCAGCAGCAACGAATATCAGCCTCACAGCAGCATATTTCGGGGTCTTTCGATTTGGCTGAAAATCGGTATACAGGGCCTCCTTGATGCGCTGATTCCGAAAATGTACCTTTTTGGGGTGGTATTTTGCACCGTTAACGAGTTAACGACCAATTAACATTTTAACGGGAAACGGCGGGGTCTTTCGATTTGCCTGAAAATCGGTATACAGGGCCTCCTCGATGCGCTGATTCCGAAAATGTACCTCTTTGGGGTGGTATTTTGCACCGTTAACGAGTTAACGACCAATTAACATTTTAACGGGAAACGGCAGGGTCTTTCTATTTGCCTGAAAATCGGAATACAGGGCCTCCTCGATGCGCTGATTCCGAAAATGTACCTCTTTGGGGTGGTATTTTGCACCGTTAACGAGTTAACGGCCAATTAATATTTTAACGGGAAACGGCGGGGTCTTTCGATTTGGCTGAAAATCGGTATACAGGGCCTCCTCGATGCGCTGATTCCGAAAATGTACCTCTTTGGGGCGGTATTTTGCACCGTTAACGAGTTAACGGCCAATTAACATTTTAACGGGAAACGCGGGTTCTTTCGATTTGGCTGAAAAACGGTGTACAGGGCCTTCTCGATGCGCTGATTACGAAAATGTACCTCTTTAGGGTGGTATTTTGCACCGTTAACGACTTAACGACCAAATGACATTCTAACGGGAAACGGCGGGGTCTTTCGATTTGGCTGAAAACCGGTATACAGGGCCTCCTCGATGCGCTTATTTCGAAAATGTGCCTCTTAAGGGCGGTATTTTGCACCGTTAACGAGTTAACGATCCGTTAACATTTCAGCAGCATATATCGATTTCAGCAGCAAATTTTCGGGGTCTTTCGATTTGGCGAAAAATCGGTATACAGGGCCTCCTCGATGCGCTAATTCCGAAAATGTACCTCTTTGCGGTGTTATTTTGCACCGTTAACGAGTTACGGCCAATTAACATTTTAACGGGAAACGGCGGGGTCTTTCGATTTGGCTGAAAATCGGTGTACAGGGCCTTCTCGATGCGCTGATTCCGAAAATATACCTGTTTTGGGTACTATTTCGCACCGTTAACGAGTTAACGACCAATTAACATTTTAACGGGAAACGGCGGGGTCTTTCGATTTGGCTGAAAATCAGTATACAGGGTCTTTTCGATGCGCTGATTACGAAAATGTGCTTCTTTAGGGTGGTATTTTGCACCGTTAACGAGTTAACGACCAAATGACATTTTAACGGGAAACGGCGGGGTCTTTCGATTTTGCTGAAAATCGGTGTACAGGGCCTCCTCGATGCGCTGATTTCGAAAATGTACCTCTTTTGGGTACTATTTTGCACCGTTAACAAGTTAACGACCAATTAACATTTTAACGGGAAACGGCGGGGTCTTACGATTTGGCTGAAAATCAGTATACAGGGTCTTTTCGATGCGCTGATTACGAAAATGTGCCTCTTTAGGGTGGTATTTTGCACCGTTAACGAGTTAACGACCAAATAGCATTTTAACGGGAAACGGCGGGGTCTTTCGATTTCGCTGAAAATCGGTATACAGGGCCTCTTCGATGCGCTGATTCCGAAAATGTACCTATTTGGGGTGGTGTTTTGCACCGTTAACGAGTTAACGGCCAATTAACATTTTAACGGGAAACGGCGGGGTCTTTCGATTTGGCTGAGAATCAGTATACAGGGCCTTTTCGATGCGCTGATTACGAAAATGTGCCTCTTTAGGGTGGTATTTTGCACCGTTAACGAGTTAACGACCAAATAACATTTTAACGGGAAACGGCGGGGTCCTTCGAGTTGGCTGAAAATCGGTATACAGGGCCTCCTCGATTAACGAGTTAATTCGTTAACGGTGCAAAATGCCACCCCAAAGAGGTACATTTTCGGAATCAGCGCATCGAGGAAACCCTGTATACCGATTTTTAGCCAAATCGAAAGTTAAAATGTTAATTGGTCGTTAACTCGTTAACGGTGCAAAATATCGCCCCAAAGAGGTACATTTTCGAAATCAGCGCATCGAGGAGGCTCTGTATACCGATTTTCAGTCAAATCGAAAGACCCCGCCGTTTCCCGTTAAAATGTTAATTGGTCGTTAACTCGTTAACAGTGCAAAATACCACCCCAAAGAGGTACCTTTTCGGAATCAGCGCATCGAGGAGACCCTGTACACCGATTTTCAGTCAAATCTAAAGACCCCGAAAATTTGCTGCTGAAATCGATATAAGCTGTTGAAATGTTAACGGATCATTAACTCGTTAACGATGCAAAATACCACCCTAAAGAGGCACATTTTCGAAATCAGCGCATCGAGAAGGCCCTGTATAATGATTTTCAGTCAAATCGAAAGACCCCGCCGTTTCCCGTTAAAATGTGAATTGGTCGTTAACTCGTTAACGGTGCAAAATACCACCCCAAAGAGGTACAGTATATCTAAAAAGTATGTCCCCTGGTTTGGCTCTCCCACAGGAGGCGAATTGGTAACTTGGCTGAATCCCAGTTGCGGCACCCGGCCGCCAGGGTCGCTGCTGCGCGAGCGGCCTTGACCGCTCGCATGTCATTGGCAGTTCGGTCCCTCCCCATCTATACCGAGGTGGGGAAGGGAGAAGAGGGGAAGAGAGGGGAGGGAGCGGCACTCGCTCGGCACTGGGCGATACCTGGCTGACCCTGCGCTCCCTCGCTGACCTCCGTCCTGCCCTCAGGCGAAGATCGACTTCCTCGGCCCGTAGCGGCCGAGCGGAAAACCGAGCTCGCGGGGCGCGACTCCATTGTCCCAATCTTATAAATGAAATGCTGTCGTATTCACGGCATTAGATAATGTGTTCACTGCATTTTACCACAGCAGTCGATGTGGTAAAATGCAGTCCAAAACAAACGGAAGCACACGATTGATGCATAATGCGCCCTCCCATTCAAATAAGGCCGCCCACTTCAACAGATGGTGTAGTTTCTTAGGGCGTAACAGATGCAAAACGCTACCGAACTTTTTTAGCTCGGCCACTAGGACCGTTCATATACAATTGACTGAAATGCGTGAAAACCATTTTGTATTTAATAGCCGTTTTCTGCACCCAAACATAAGCCAGTGACGCCCTGTCCATTCTAAAGCGTTCATGAGATCGGTCCCAGCACCCGATTTGATATGAGAAAGTCGTTCAAAAAGCATCTTATCTCTAACCAATTTATTTATCATGGCCATTTTTACAGGACGTCTATAGAGCTTTGACTTTTACATTTCTTCCTCGTTCAGGAGCAACGTTTTAGCCCTCACCAGGTTTCAGGTTTTCTGAATACCGAGGGGGCGTTGGGGGGTTGGAACTGAGGGAACAACCCCCTTCGCCGATTCGCCCCTAATTGAGCTAGACCCTCACGAAAGAAACGATCGTGTCCGTTGTTACGAAATGCAGCGATTGGTCTCCGATTTTAAGGACTAGGGTCAGCCGATGACTTCTGAGGTCAGGTCAAGTGGTCCAAGGCACAGGTTCGGTTTTTGGTAAATAACTTCGCTAAAAATGATCGCAGATCCGCGATTTTAGCCTCTTCGTGTTTGTCTAGCTCAGGCGTGTCGAATGGTATACTTTTTCTTCGGGTGAGATCAACTTCAGGTGTTAACTTTGGGTCAAGGTCAGGTCACAGCCCGTCAGGTCACAAAGCTGGTCAAAGGAGGTCATATTGCATATCAATCGATTTGGCAGGTCTTTCCATGTCCATTAGTGGCTTTATCGACTCGGTAGCTTTAGTTGCACCTACCACACACAAGTTCACGATCCCCACGAACCCACATCAGTGTCCGTTCGCTTGGTGTGTGACTCCTTGACCTTTGGCCGCGATAACTGCCAGCCCACCGGAGCACCCCTCCCTACACGCGCTGCCCCGCCCGATCCCCTCCCTCCCCCCCCCCCCCCGGGGTCGTGTCACGAAGGTTCGGGCTTACGCTACTACCGGCCGCTGCGCAGCTGTCACCTAGCGCTTGGGAATGTGTGGTCTGGTGCAGATTCAGCCAACTACCGGCAGTATCGGCTCGCGACACCAGCGCCACGTAGTGGCGACGGTACATTCTTTTTAGACATACTGTACCTTTTCGGAATCAGCGCATCGAGGAGACCCTGTACACCGATTTTAAGCCAAATCGAAAGCAGAGGTCATAAAAGTCGCCAACTCGTCCACACCCGTGGGTAACCAATTCAAGTCTTTCACTGACAAGCCAGGTAACCACTCAAGGCAAAGCCATTTTAGAAAAGAGGAACAAATCTTGCTAGAATATAGAGCAAACATTGATTTCCTTATCTCTGTAAAAAAGCAAGTGTTTTTTCATATCTTCAAAAGAAAGGTGCACAGTCAACAAATTTAGTGAAAAGTGATGTCGTGTGCTACATGAGATAGCGCCGGTCTCAGGTAGCACGCTCGGCAACTTTCCTGCCACGAACATTTACACATCTAGGTAGCAAGCAAGTACAAGTACTTGGACTTAGATATGCGAAACCAAAATCTGTTCATCATACGATCAGTTTGTGGTAAATTTGGAGTCTATATTTTTGCATTTATTAACGACTTTTCTTCCAAAAAAACATTAAAACAGGGATTTGTCATTCGTTTCGTTGCTCTTTTTGTGGCAATCTTCGAGCAAGTAACAGAGAAATAGAGCTGGGAAAATGCATTACCCCAACCTTCCGGCCACGGGGTAGCCACCCTGGTAGCCACCGAGAGCCAAGGGGGAGCGGCCAATGGGAACCGCCGACAGCGAGGTAGCCAGCGTCTGATTGGCGGACTGAGGCCAGTCTGGCGTCAGCTGTTTGGAAGGGTTTGAAACTACAGGCGGTCACCGTCTAATCCTGTAGCGTCTTCCCTGACTTTCTCTTTGGTGTTGCGTATATGTGCCGTGGAACATTTGAGAGTGAGACGTTGGATATGTCCAAATAAGTGCAAGGAGTGGAAGCCAAAGTTGAAGTA